TATATATATAAATAAAAACAGTAATATATAATTATATAATACGTAAAAATAATAATATATTAAAATAATAATAATATAATAATAATTGGAACTTACTCGTAGAAACTATTACTGCAAATAGGAATCGCTAACAACGTTAATTATCTAAATTGTACAGTAAATGATGTATCCACTCGATCGCACACTGTCTCCGCGAAAGGCGTCGTAAGAAGACCTTTCAATAATTTCTATTTAACACGATTTTGATGACAAAATTAACGAACGAACGAATTCAGCCAATCGTACAATAGAAAATATCGTCGAAGCCGGCGTTAATATTCTATGGTATCGATCCGCGTTCCGGCGCTAAGTCGAAAGTTAATTATTCAAGGACCAGCGACGCGTATGTTGACGGCATTACGCCGAAGTTTCTAATCCGGAATCCATATTAATCCCGGCGTACGTAGGTCTACGTTGGTTAACGAATGTAGCGAGTAGTTCAATTTCAGAAGATACGTCACGTAAACCTATCTGCGTCAATTTTCAGCGGGCTATGGTTTGTAAAGACTCGGCAGCTTTGCCCTTCTCGACACCATGCGGAAGGCTGCTGCTGCTGCTGCTGCTGCCGCTGCCGCCACTGCTGCAGGGTTGTATTTGCTGGCTATCGAGTCTGGATCACGTCACGTCGTGTCGGATCGCGTTACGCTCTCGACACTGATCGGAGATTAGCACCGGTAACCCCACCTCCTGACAATCCCCTACTTTTCTCCCCCTCCCCCTTTGCTCCCCGGCGACCGTACGGCATCCCTCCGATTGCATTCAAATCACGCACAAAGAGCTCAACTTGAGAGCTTCTCCCGTAACCGCACACTAGAGCCGCGCCTATCTGACAGCCGTATCTAACGGATTTTTAACGACCTTTTGTTAGCCAAAAAATGTATATAAGCTCCCGATAGTCGAGTACTGTCCCAGCGAAGGAGACAGCGCGCGGAAACGATGATCAGATATCGCACGGTCGGTCGGCCGTACCTTTTCGAATGTGTATACATATACATATATATGTGTATTATATCCCGCTTTAAATCGTTGCCCTTTCAAAGAAAGCCCCGGCACCCGCTCGCCCCTCCTTTTGTTTGGCTCTCCGTAAATGCAGATTCGAGAATAAGAGTACTGGAAACCGAAACGATGAGACGCCGGAACGCGCTCGCCGGCCGTCCGGCGCCTTACATAAACCCCGAGCCCCGCAACTTTCTAACTTGTAACCAGTGTCGTTTACATATGCATATTAGGGTCTAACGTCCGCGCCGCGCCAAGAAAGTAATAACGTCGATAACGATCGAATATGCTGACGCGTGGGATAACACGTTCCGTCGTTTCTTTTCAGTCGTTCGCGAAAGTCTTAATAGAATTTTTCGATGCATCTGCAACCGTCGTCGACGGATTTTCGCGTTCCCCTAATTTAACTGTTTGGGGCACAGGGTTTTGGTGCAAGAAAAGGTTGTCGCGACAAAAAGGCTTGCAACAATTGACGGGCCTCCGAACGACTGCATTTGCGCGGTCATCAAAGTGCAACGGTGTCCGCATTCTCTTTCGTCGGTTCGCTGTTTTTAAACTTGCCGCGATCACGGTATCGATCCTCGCGCGTTCCTCGTTCTCGTAACGGCAAAAATAAATTAGTTGCTAGTCCGTTTCGATGAAATTGGACGAGCAAAGCGAGACGAGACAAGACCGGAGTGAGATTATTATATTTTCTCCGCATTGCCGCCGCTTTCCGACGCGCGAGGGAAGCAATTAAAATTGGAATTAATTTTAAAAAAATTAGAGCAACATCGTCCGAACTTAACATCGAAAGCAGATTCTTCATCTCCGATATCCAACTGCTTGCTTCGTTTCGAAACGGCTAGAAATTGGCACCAAATTAATCCGAAAGAAATTAGGGAAATCATTCGATTTCAACGCGTTGAAAACAGATTCTTTTATCTATTCCCAATATCCAACCGCTCTATTTAGAAACAAAGTACAATTTTTCAATCGCGCAGCTGCGTAGTTATTGTGTTACACTAATAAGAACTGCAATTAATAAGAATTCTATTTATAGATTTTTCGAGACACAGAAATTCCGAAATTCAATTGTTGCCGACAGGTTCCCGCGTTAAGCACGCTAGATGATGAATGATTCCAGCAGCGAACGGTCTCGTTAGCTCCTCGTTTCGAAGTTCCTCATTCGGGCGCAGTTCGTTTAACGTCATGTTGAGTTTTCAAGATGGCGGTCTGAGCACAGGGGAACATTTTGCGAGAGTCGTTAGCACGGTTCGGAGCCACGCCTCCTTCGACGAGGATGCCTCCTTTTCCGTTCAAACACGTTTCATTCCTCAAAGAGCTGAAAGCCACTCCAGACGAAACCAGTCGCGCTCGAGAGATCCAAAAAGCTCGAAATAATCACTCAATTATCGAGAGCTTAACGAAGCTTATTTATATCGGCTTTCGGATTTTCGTAGGTTCACAGCCGATAAACGTATCCGCGGGAACGAATAAATCAGTTAACTTCGCTGAAAATGATACAGAAATATCCTAATGATATACAGGAAGATCGTTATCTCCGGTTTCTGTTCTTGCGCCGTTGAAATTCGCATAAAAATGTTCGACGTATTATCTATATTATCAATATTATCTGTATACAGTAATTTCTTTCTAATTGACACTGAGATTGTGCACAAAAATGGACAATTTGGGAAGTGGAGACACGATTATGTCTCCTCGAGCTCTGCAGCTCGTTTTTGTCGACAATTCGTAACTACGGATCGTTTTATTAACCAATTTCCGTTCCAAAAGGTGGCTTTGGCGGTCGAAGCTAATTGTAAGCAAGGTTTCTCTTGCACAGCAACTTTATACAGTAATGTCTCCCTAATTGTCACCTAAATTGTGCACTAAAATAGACAATTTGGGAAGAGGAGACGCGATTATTCGAGCCGCAAGGCTATTTTTTATAATTACCGAGTGTCAATAACCATAAAAACGAGAACCGCGAGGCTCGAACAATCGTATCTCCTCTCCCCGAATTGTCCATTTCTGTGAACAATCTGAGCGTCAATTAGGGAGACATTACTGTATCTATATATTGGACCTATATCATTTATTTTAGCTCTGTATCTATAGCATCTACATATATTATCAAGCGGTGCTTTTATTCGCGAGATTTCAACGAACGAGGTTATTTTGTATATTTTCGAAAGTACAGACGTCTCTCCGTTTGAAAACCGCGCGGAGGCTAAAAATATTGGTGCCAGACCGTCCTCCATTAATACTAAATGGATCAGGTCTGTGATTGGATATTTAATTGCATTAATACTTACATGCCTGTTACAATCGTAAAATGTGATAAGATGAAACTTCCCTGATGACTTCGTCAATTTCTGCTTAATTAAGAATATGTGCACAAAGCATTTAACGATTTCACAGCGGAACCACGCAGGTTTATTCGCATTCGCGTCTGTCCGTATTTACAATATCCGGTTAGAGAGATCGTACTTACGCGCCAGACAACTTTAACTTACCTTAAACATGTCAAGAAACAAACGTCTCACACAAACATAAAATTACGTACTGTAAAACTGTAAATATTGGGTTGTCCAGAAAGTTCGTGCCGATTTTCGGTAGGTAGCGTGAGAGACCTGACCGAATATATCACAATTATTGAAAACAAATGACATGTGTACACTTTCTAAAAGAGATAACTTCAGCCATATTTGGAAAAAAGCTTGATTACGATTCGTTAATTTTGATCAGTTTTGTACGCCTTAGAATACGGTGGCAAATAAAGAGCATTATAGGCATTTAATGCTTTTCTTTTTCCGAAAGGGCAAAAATGCCACACAAGCGGCAAATAAGATATGCGCTGTTTATGGCGAGGATGCTGTAGCCGAAAGAACTGTGCGGAAGTGGTTTGCTCGGTTTAAAGCTGGAAATTTCAACCTTGAAGATCAAGAACGCCCAGGTAGGCCGTCCACCACAGACGAAGATACGATTAGAACAGAAATCGAGAATAACCCACGCTCAACATTACGTCGATTAGCAGGAATGCTAAATAAATCAAAATCAACCATCCACGATC